CAAGATTAAGCCAAGCAGACTTACTACACTACAACCTAGAATGTATTTGGTTTTTTCGTTTCAATTTTTCTTTAATCCATTTTAAGTAAACAAATTTAAGGTGTGTGACAGCAAGAGTTGAAAACAAAAAACTTCATGAATGAACCTAAACATGAAGCTGTAACAAAAGGTCAGATATGCGCTTTCAGCCTGGCATTCATAAGTGGCCTTGTATTATCAGCAGTGCGAGAGCAGCTGTAGTATAGCAGTGATACTTCTTAATGCATTTTGAATCTATTAGTTACCTGGTGGCCTATCTGTGAGAACTGAGAGGTTGTGATGGTAGTGGGAATGGTTGCAGTCTGTGACTCAATGCCATTGCTGACCTGCTGTACTTCTTCCATAGTAACTGGGAAGAAATAAGTCATTACCGTTTCATAGTGGCGCTAGTGTTAACAACAACTTTCTGTGGCGGGGTGGTACGCCTGTGACATGTTGTAACCAATCCGCTGTGGCCTTCTCTGCTTCTTTTCCTCTACTACTTAACACCATTAATACAATCACTGTGAAGAATATATGAGCGGTCAAATCACAGTTTATTTAATTATTCTGCAGTTTAAAAAACATGAATTACAGCCAACTAAAAAAAAACAACTTCCTCTTTGGTTAGGTCGCGCTAGCCCAAATGCAACTAACGTTGCAAAGGAGTTACGAAACATGCCTAGGCCCGACAGTCAACAGTTTCAACTTTTTTTTCTTTATTCATTTATTGCTAATTTTACAATGTGCAACTTCCATCCCAAGCAAACGTTTTCGGGTGAAATAAAAGCTCCTCACTGCTAGAATGATCTAGATCACTAAGGTTACACTTGCTAGTTAACGGTAGCTAACGTACAGTAAAACGGATGTTGAGCAGTTTAAATCTTATAAATCGATTTCATAGCAACATCCGAGGCAAGTTTCTCTCCTCCGATTCAAAGGATGGACAAGCTTTTGTCTGAATGAGCAAATATGTGCAACTCTGTCACTGGCACGCAAGTTACCGCGTCAACAGACGTCAGCGATACGGGGAGCCATTAAGCTAACTACACCTTCCCTTTTCGTAAAACGGCGAGGAGTTGACGAAGTAGCAGCCGCCATTACCGCCACAGCCGAGCAGACAGCCACACGAGCACAAAATTGCCGCTCAGGCAGCTGAAATTTACCTTTTCAAATGCAGAGAAGCTGCTCTCGCTCACAGCGTGGACTTCCTGCGATTTGGGTATAGACCTTTGATCAAAAAAAGTAATCCTAAAAGTACTTAGCACCGAAGGCTAAAAGGCTAAAAACATAAAGATGTCAGCTAAAAAAATCGCTGACCACTTTTTTCCCAAAGGAAATGGGCGGTGCTGCTAAAGCAAAGACGCATTACGTAACAGTTTCTTTAGGCTTTGTGATTGGTGAGAAGAGTTTGAACAACTAGTAAACACAGAGAAATGAAAAGTTTACTTCATTATGTTTTCAGGGAATAAAGACAATTCTGACTATTCGAGCTGCAACATTTTCTGAGATGTTGACTTGAAGAAGGTTCATTTAAACGGATCAAAGAATGACAGGTGTGAAATGCTCTATCTGTGGACAGCCTCCATCTTCTCATTTGTTTTTGTCTTCATGTTAATGGTTAATATAGTTGACAACATTTTTTCTGATTCTTCTCTAGTTGTTGCTGATTATGCATTTTATATTATTCATGTAGTGCAGGTTCTTGCCACGTTCTACGCATTCTCAAATCAAAATTTGCACACAAAAGGCCAATTTTTTTTTCTTGCTTTTAATGAGACAACAAACTCAACTATCTATGATATTACACACACACACACACACACACACACACACACACACATATATATATATATATATATATATATATGACTTTGTGCAGAGCATTCAAGACTAAATGTTTGCAACTTTTTAATGTCGTCCTTCTGTCCTTTTGAGTTTGATATCTAATTTGATTTTTCTTTTTATGATTCTGTCCTGATTTGATGACGCTAGTGTCTTCTTAGTTATTTTTGTTTTTTAATTATGTTTTAAATAGAAGTTGTAATTTTTTTACTATATCTATGTGATTTAGTAATCAATTGGGGCGATCGTGGCTCAAGAGTTGGGCGTTCGCCTTATAATCGGAAAGTTGCCGGTTCGAGCCCCGGCTTGGACAGTCTCGGTCGTTGTGTCCTTGGGCAAGACACTTCACCCGTTGCCTACTGGTGGTGGTCAGAGGGCCCGGTGGCGCCAGTGTCCGGCAGCCTTGCCTCTGTCAGTGCGCCCCAGGGTGGCTGTGGCTACAATGTAGCTTGCCATCACCAATGTGTGTGTGAATGGGTGGATGACTGGATATGTAAAGCGCTTTGGGGTCCTTAGGGACTATTAAAGCGGTATATAAATACAGGCCTTTTTTTTTTTTTAACATTTAAATTTGACAAAAATATTACATATTTTTTAGATCATGTATAATGTAGTATGTTTTGTTGTTAACGCTTCTTAGACACTTGCCACTTTTATGTACGCATGTAATTTAATTTAGTTCACATGAATTTAATTTATATAATGCCAAATCACAACAACAGTCACCTCAAGGTGCTTTATATTGTAAAGTGTAGACCCTACAGAAAATGGAGAAAAATCCAGCAATCAAACAACCCGCTTGGCCAAAGTGGGAAGAAAGAACTCCTTTTTAACAGGAATAAACCTCAGGCTGAACCAGGTTCAGGGAGGGGGTTAGGGGTGAAAAAAATCTCAGTACCAGTAAAAAAAAAATCCCCTCTGAAGTCGCATCAATGGTTTGACCCATTTGCTAAAAGTTATGTTCATGTTTGTTGCATATCTTTTAAAAGACTGATATGTTTTCAGCTCGGAGTCAGTGACAGCTGTGCAAATGTAAATCTCAAACTCCATGAGGCAATTTTTTTCAGATTTGACACAAACTGACACAGGCATGAACTAGTTATGGTGATTATGGTCAAGGTCATTGTGACCTTACAAAACATGTGCAAAATTATTGGTAGAACTGCAGAGCCTGTTACTTGAGAATATGACCCAGGTTATTCTGTAATAGGTTCAAAAGATGTATCCTATAGAAATACACTCACTAAATGTCTGTGTGCAGGTGTGCCTGCTGAAAATATGGCAGTGCAGAAAAGATAAGACTGCAGCTCTGTAAACCTACAGTGTGTCTAAGTGAGTGACTTATGTAATTTTTCACAGAAAAAAGGTGTTGAGTTGTTTTCACATCCTTTCAGAGAGAATCAAGACTTCTACTGCATATAGTGTGGAGTAGGTAGAAGTTACTGTAAATGAAGCACTTACACTTAACTTACACTTTGTTATGTGCTCCCATTCAGCAGCTCCTTAACAAAAATTAAAATTTAAAAAAATCACCCATTCCCATGGTAGCGCGTCAATGTATTTAGGCATGTGGAAATGGTCAAGACAACTTGCAAGAGCAGTTGTCCCCTAAGAAGGGGGATTTAATGTAACTTTGAACATGGTATCCTTGCTGGTGCCAGAGTGATCTGAGAGTTTCAGTAACTACTGATGTATTGGGATTTTCCCCACACAGGCATCAATAGAGTTTACTGAAAATGATTGGAGAAAGAGAAAATATCCAGTGAGCAGCAGGTCTCTATGTGAAAATGTGCTTTTGATGCCAGAGGCCAAATTGCTTCTCCCGATAGGAAAAGACGATAATTCAAATAACAACTTGTTACAACCAAACTATGCAGAAATACAAGACATCTACCTTTGAAGTAGATGGGCTACAGCAGCAGAAGACCTCATCGGGTGCCAGGTTTGTCAAGGCTAAAATTCACATGGGCTCACTAAAATTGGAAAAACGTTTCCTGGTCTGCTAAGTTTCGATTTCAACATTTGGATGGCAGGGTCAAAATCTGGCTGGAAACATAAATCCATCCTGTTATATCAACAGTTCCAGCTGGTGGTGGTGCAGTAATGATGTGGGGGATCTTTTCTTGGAACATTTGGGGCCCCAGCTGAGCATCGTTTAAACACCACAGCCTACGCGAGTCACTGATCATGTCCATCCCTTTTTGACCACAGTCTGTGGGGATGCAGTGTGTACAATAATTCAAAGAGTGTAAGATATTTAGAGTAATAACAGTATTCATTAGTAAGCTCAAGAATATCCAGACACTTGAAATGATTAAATGGTTCTTTTTATTCTGCATTACTTATACATAAAGTATAAAACAAAGTACAACAAACCAAAATAGAAAATAAGTGAGAAAATGGGAAAGTGTACCACCTTAGTATTATTTTTTTTAACTATACAAGTTGAAACACCTCTGTAGCAATAAAGATTAATCAGTGGATCACACCTTCTTGGAGCAAGTTTAGATTTCACCAAATAATTAAAATACAACATACTAAAGTGTGCATACACAAAACATTGACAGAACAACTCAAGAGATGAATACAGTCTTAAGTACACTACTGATTAAATTTGTTCAGTCCTCCGTTCTTAGTAATTACAAAATGTATAAGCATCATGTTTATTTCACCAGACTGTGCAAGCTTTGAAAAGAAATTACACCGTCGTCGGGATTGCATAGTGTGTAAGAACTCTGACGGAGAAAAAAAGAGTGGAAACAAGAAGAAGCCCTTGTAGACTTCCCAGTGAAGCAGGTTGATGGTAGATGGACACTGGTTGTCAGTTACCCCTCTGTATGCTTATTAGGTTTGTGACGCCTCATTTTGACAAATGTCTACATTTTATGGGTACTCTTCACAGATTGCACCACGGGACCAGCTGGTCCATCCCTGTCCTAGGAGTTTTGTTCCCTGAATATACAGTTTCAAACATATTTAAATCCCCTCCCTCCCCCACATTTGTGCCTCAAGACAAGATGTGCCTCAAGACAATTCCTTCTTGTGCTTGGCTGAGTCATGCAAACATTCTGCTGCAACTGTAGGATGCAGTGTTAAAGCTAAGATGAAGAGCTATTCGTTTTTTTAATATATATATATGTGTGTGTGTGTGGGGGGGGGGATTTGAAACTAGGCAAAAACAAGTATCAAGCTGTAAAATTACATTACATACTTAATGTAACATTGAACGGGGATAAAGTTCACACATTAGAAACCTGCTGTTAAGTACCACCAGTGCAAAGTGCAGTCATTAAATGATTATCATTCCCAGTTATGTTAAAGTTGTTTCTAAAATGTTTGGCATGACTGAATGTTATAATAAAACTACAGCAAAAGTCCAAACAGAACAAAAACCCCCCAAAAAAACAATTACTATATACATGTTGATATTCAAGGTTCATCACTGAAACAGTATGATCCAAAACAAACAAACTTTTACTTCTCTGAGGAGCACAAGGAGAAGCACGAGTTCGCAGGAATCCAACTACAGTTTGCAAATATATCTAGCTGCTTTTTATTTTTTTTTTTTACCCATTTTTCTGCATTACCTTTCATTATCAACCAAAGATGTTTTAAATCTGGCTAAGCTCTGCAGATGGATTCACAAGTGCTTCTAAAAATCCAGTGACTGAACACAGAAAATAATCCAGATACATAATGATGGTACTAACAGCATTGCTTTTGCCATTCAGAGTTAACTATTTACAAAGTTGCACAAAGACAAAACACAGTTTGAATGAACCTTCTAGCGGTGAGGGGAGAAACGGGCTGAACTTTTACATACTTGCTCTATTGTGTAAAGTAAACTTAGAGGGGCATGGCTCTTTTGCAAGTATGATGGTAATGGATTATATATGAACACTTGTGGGGCCTGCTTTTTCTTACAAAATAACCTGGTAGCCTGAAAACAGTCATAATATTGTTTTTAGCCTTCTCCGTAGACACTCCCCCCCCCCCGCAGCGGCTGATAGAAAGTTTCCTGGCATTACCAGCAATAGTCCTCCCACTGACACCTCAAAAGTCCTCAGCCAAGATTCATCACACACATGCTCCTGAACCATTTATAATGCCTCATTGTTATAATAAAATAGAGATTTTTTTTGTGAAAGTGCAATGTTAAATTCATCCTGACTAATAATGCTTTAAAGTTATTTACCTTTATCCTCCATTACATAGCTAGTGTACCACTTCGAAACTGTTAAACTGTATTTACAATCTTCTTTCTGCTACTGTTGTAATCTCCCTGTTGGGTTCTTTATCTACAAACCATCAACCGAGAGAGCTGAGTAAGCATCTATACATTTTTACAATTAAAAATATCTATACAGTTACGTACAGTATCTAAAATAAAAGGAGGCCCTTGTAAGTACAGTACAGAATACGGCCTCTTTCATCTTTTGCTTTGATCCCTTTGGATATCTACCAGGATTTCAACTACTATTCAGACCCAAAGGAGAATCAACAGCCGTTCAGGGTAAAGTCTTAAAAATTAAGTTAGGAATGTATGGCTGTTTGAAAGTTTTATAAGGCAAGAAATATATTAGGGCAGGAAAATCTATTTGGCTTCATTATTAAGGGAAAAAAAAGCATTTTAAGTAATGTCCACAGACTTGCTGTTATTTTCACAGTTTGCCCTCTTATTCATCTGTATTAGTGATAAATGACGAGGGCTCAGCAGATGCGTTTGTGTGCGTCTGAAATGTAAAAATATTTCAAGTTGCAGATTGAAGTGCAGTTGCGGTGCGTAGACACAAAAGGGAAGGTTTTTGTGGTAACGGCCTGTTGTATGTGTTGTTCCGTCCCTTCTGCAGAACAAAAAAAAGAAAAGAATAGGAGCAGCAGGGACTTTTTCTTTTTTTGCTTCCAATGTGCGACATGCACATGTTACCTCTTCCCCAAAATTCTATATATTGAAAAAAAACAAAAAAAACAAAAACACAGTGAACAACTCCAAGCATCACAGATCCAATCACAGACATGCATGTGGCCAAGATATGCTGGTGTCACACAGGGCTAGGTGTCAGTATATGTGGTTCATGCTTTTGCCTTACACCTCAACCAAGCCAGTAGCCAGATGGCGGGATAATGGCTAAAAAATTATTATTATTTTTTTTAAATCCCAGAACACCACCACAAGTGCTCACATGTTGTAAGCAACATAGATAGGATCCAGCTGGTCAGCGAGGAAAGAGTCACGAAGGTGCATGCGTTGCTTTTCTCCCCTGGAGTTGATCGGAATGACACCGGGGTCAACGATGACCACCACACCCACAATGAGGTGGTGCTCCTCCAGCACCACGTTGGTTATCAGAGGCACCAGGTCCAACGCATCCTGCTCTGAACCACACAGCTCCGACACCACCACCAGCAGGTTGGTCCACGTAAACACAGCACTGTGAGGCACAAGGACGAGGCACTTAACAGCAGTGTCACGATGAGGAATAATAAAAACTAATCGGATATTACGTTGTGATGACAGCCTAAAATGTAATCTTTTGTTAAATGGTAAATGGCCTGCATTTGTATAGCGCTTTTCTAGTCCATAGGACCCCAAAGCGCTTTACACTACATTCAGTCATCCACCCATTCACACACTGGCGATAGCAAGCTACATTGTAGCCACAGCTGCCCTGGGGCGCACTGACAGAGGCGAGGCTGCCGGACACAGGCGCCACCGGGCCCTCTGACCACCACCAGTAGGCAAACACGGGGTTAGTATCTTGCCCAAGGATATTTGGCATGCAGCCAGGATGCAGCCTGGGATCAAACCACCGACCTTCTGATTAGTGGCTGACCTGCTCTGCCACCTGAGCTACAGCCACCCATAGGGCAGTGGGGTTCCAAAATTTATACACAAAGGCCCAATTTTACTGCTTTTACCTTCATGTTTTCAAGGTTTAGCAATAATAAGAAACTGGGAAGAACCCATGCTGCTGCTCTTTTTATTAATTCTGTTTTCACAAATTAAAAAAGTGAGGTTATTTTCTCAGTTGCTCCTCCTTTGAAATTAGTTCATCACTTCTTGTATTTCTTTCTCCCATAAACAACAACAAAAACAGCTGATTTCTAAATGAATGTAGACATAATATTTTCAATGATCATCTGCAAGGTTTATATTTCTATCCTTATTAGTACCAGCCAGGCTTTTTACTCACGCCAAGGAGGTTATGTTTTTGGCAGCGTTTCTGTGTGTCTTTCTGTCTGTAAACACAATAGCTGGAAACATTTTGAATGAATTCTGATAAAACTTTGTAGGGTCATGTTAATGATCCATTAAAATCTGGCTTAAATCCATGAAGTTGTTCAAGGTCAAGTTAATGATTTGTTGGCCGAGAATTGACAGGAATCTCAGAGGTGTGGTATGTTTTGTCAAGATACAGAAAGTACTGTTTAAACACTTCAAATATGACTTCATACGTGACCTCTGACTTATCCTTCAAAGTCCATCGATTCCTCTGTAGGTCAAAATGATATTAATGCTATATTGACTTTGTTTGCATTAACAGCATATAGGAACATGTTCATAACATGTCTTTTATCCTTAAAACTATGTTTGTAATTGTACTGCCTTTAATTGTGTTGACAACGTTTCAGAAATGATACTGTTACATGGGGTTTTTAAATATCACAATATACAGTGGGGCAAAAAAGTATTTAGTCAGCCACCGATTGTGCAAGTTCCCCCACTTAAAATGATGACAGAGGTCAGTAATTTGCACCAGAGGTACACTTCAACTGTGAGAGACAGAATGTGAAAGAAAAATCCATGAATCCACATGGTAGGATTTGTAAAGAATTTATTCGTAAATTAGGGTGGAAAATAAGTATTTGGTCAATAACAAAAATACAACTCAATACTTTGTAACATAACCTTTGTTGGCAATAACAGAGGTCAAACGTTTACTATAGGTCTTTACCAGGTTTGCACACACAGTAGCTGGTATTTTGGCCCATTCCTCCATGCAGATCTTCTCGAGAGCAGTGATGTTTTGGGGCTGTCGCCGAGCAACACGGACTTCCAACTCCCGCCACAGATTTTCTATGGGGTTGAGGTCTGGAGACTGGCTAGGCCACTCCAGGACTTTCAAATGCTTCTTACGGAGCCACTCCTTTGTTGCCCGGGCGGTGTGTTTTGGATCATTGTCATGTTGGAAGACCCAGCCTCGTTTCATCTTCAAAGTTCTCACTGATGGAAGGAGGTTTTGGCTCAAAATCTCACGATACACGGCCCCATTCATTCTGTCCTTAACACGGATCAGTCGTCCTGTCCCCTTGGCAGAAAAACAGCCCCATAGCATGATGTTTCCACCCCCATGCTTCACAGTAGGTATGGTGTTCTTGGGATGCAACTCAGTATTCTTCTTCCTCCAAACACGACGAGTTGAGTTTATACCAAAAAGTTCTACTTTGGTTTCATCTGACCACATGACATTCTCCCAATCCTCTGCTGTATCATCCATGTGCTCTCTGGCAAACTTCAGACGGGCCTGGACATGCACTGGCTTCAGCAGCGGAACACGTCTGGCACTGCGGGATTTGATTCCCTGCCGTTGTAGTGTGTTACTGATGGTGACCTTTGTTACTTTGGTCCCAGCTCTCTGCAGGTCATTCACCAGGTCCCCCCGTGTGGTTCTGGGATCTTTGCTCACCGTTCTCATGATCATTTTGACCCCACGGGATGAGATCTTGCGTGGAGCCCCAGATCGAGGGAGATTATCAGTGGTCTTGTATGTCTTCCATTTTCTGATGATTGCTCCCACAGTTGGTTTTTCACACCAAGCTGCTTGCCTATTGTAGATTCACTCTTCCCAGTCTGGTGCAGGTCTACAATACTTTTCCTGGTGTCCTTCGAAAGCTCTTTGGTCTTGGCCATGGCAGAGTTTGGAGTCTGACTGTTTGAGGCTGTGGACAGGTGTCTTTTATACAGATGATGAGTTCAAACAGGTGCCATTCATACAGGTAACGAGTGGGGGACAGAAAAGCTTCTTACAGAAGACGTTACAGGTCTGTGAGAGCCAGAGATTTTCCTTGTTTGAGGTGACCAAATACTTATTTTCCACCCTAATTTACGAATAAATTCTTTACAAATCCTACCATGTGAATTCATGGATTTTTTTTTCACATTCTGTCTCTCACAGTTGAAGTGTACCTCTGGTGCAAATTACTGACCTCTGTCATCATTTTAAGTGGGGGAACTTGCACAATCGGTGGCTGACTAAATACTTTTTTGCCCCACTGTAGTATTATGATACATTTGACCTTTCCAACTGCCTTTTTTCTCAAGTTAACCCCAAAATTTGTTATATATCTAAAGTCCTGCCAAAAGAAAGAGAACGAGCTGCCCTTTTATTTTTAATAAATACTATAGGATATTATTATATATTAAGCTCAGGTTATTTATGTGCAGTTATTATCTACTCCTACATTGTTAAAAACATTAAAGTGTGTGTCGGTGTGTGTGCATGCATTCGCACCTCTCAGCAATACTTCGGTGAGCCCGTGACACTGACGTTTCAATGTCAATAGGATGGTAGCGCAAGCCTCGTAGCTCCAATGTCTCATCCAGTGAGCCCACCACAAACAGAGCATCATGCCGATCTGAGCACAGAAATGCAAACAATATAAGCAACACCCCCCCAAACAAATTCAGTCACATTACAGCAAAATTTGTAATTGGTTACTGTAGGATCGAGGTTACTTTAGTTTCATAAAGTTTGTTTAAGTTTATGCTTTATCAGGTTTAAATCTGCAAACCTTGTTACATTAAACTTATCAGCACTATTCCATCAATATTTCTGAGTCCAGGTTTTAGCTCAGTTGTGGTCTATTTACCCCCGCTTGCATCCAGTAGCTCGGTCCTCTTCACAAAACCCAGGTATCCAGTTCTGGCCCATAAAGTGTGCGGGTCTCCGAAGCTGAGCTTGGTGTTGAAGTGATCAGCCTGAAGACTTTCCTCTCCGTATATGGTGTAGTAGCCACTGGCACTGTGAGGGCTGTTTACCCAGATCTAAGAGAAAGAAACATCTGTAACTTTCAGAGAAAATCTTCTCTAGCTTCAGGTGTGGTCTCGATATGCGTGTGTGCTGTGGTTAACCTCTCCTAGATGAGAATCGCCAAGTGGGCCTCGGGTCTCTGGATTCACTATGATCACCCGAACACCTGGCAGTATCTAAAAATGACAGAGAAACAAAGACACTAAATACAACTCTGACATGCTTTTCATTAAACCTCTCAAAAATTGAGAAAAAAACCCACACAGGACAGCGCATAATGAGTTTCACCTTGCCAGACTCCATTAGAGGAAGACTCTGAGGTGCTCCTCTCTCCACCAGCCTCACTCTGCCAAAAACACAGGCAGCGCATTTATAAATATTCAAAGTTCTAATTAATCTTTGCAAATTGGACCATGTCAGGGATTTTCCTGCACAGAGAAGTTTCTGATGCCAGTGAGGTTTTAGCCAGAACCTCACTGTGTTATTGTTTTTATTGTTTTTTCAGAAAAACCCCCCAGACGTGATATTATTTTTTATATTGATCGCATCCAATAAATCCCATTTAGCTAGAAAAAAAGTGTAAAGTAAGCTTTTACTAAATACTAGCAAGTTTACTTTAACTAACTTGACTGTTCTCACCTGTCATGGCGCAGGGACTTCATGTCCACATACACCGTACAGGGATCAGGACCAGTGGTGCCCTGAAACACACACATATATAAAAGAACAGGTTTAAAGAGGTCCCACTTCTTTCTCATTTGATCTATGATCAACAGCGACGTCCTGCTGGTTGGTGTACCTGCAGGCAGATGGCCAGGTTAACTCTGGAACCAAAAGCAGTGCTGACAGCTCTGGACGACAGCCCGACATCCTTAAACAGTTTGGAGAAGGAGTGTGTGAGGGCAAGACGAGGGCGTTCCTCTGCTATCACCACACAGCTCCGCACACACGACAGGTTCACACCACGGGCCTTAAACAAACATGCAAATGATCAAACCCATGATGTTTTATTTTAAAAATAGCTGTATTGTTTCTCTTCCTGCATGTCGAGTCCTAACCTTGAGTAAATCTGTCTGAGTACCCAATCCCTTAGTGCAGAGCTCCATGACAGAGTAGGAGCAGAAGGTGTCTCTGATACGGTACTGACTGAGCGTGCTTAGCCACAGAGACAAGCTGGTCTCCAGCTCGAACGGAGGAATCAGGATTGACTGGTGACCTGAGTAGACACTGTGAGACAAAACATGTAGGTGAAAAAGTGGGGAAAGTGATACCTTTGTAAATAACCATGAAATATTGTAGCTGACGTTTTACCGTACCTGGCGAGGCACCACAAGACGAAGCCCAGACCACAATAAGGATCCAGACAGATGGCTATTTGGCGAGAGGAGTACAGCTCACACTGAAGCTTTATAGAGCGGCAAAGTGCGCTGACTGCTGCATGAGAGATCTGACAAAAGACAAGAAAAGATAAAGAATTAATTTTGTGTATGTTTTATAAAACAAAGTAAAGTCTTCCATAGATATCTGCCACTCATATATAACCAGAAACTGTTCCTTACACGCTTTCACTTTTTAAAAATGAAGACATGCTCCAGGTATGTGCATCTGTGACTGTACTGGATTACAACAAGAAAAACGACACCCTGCTGATTCCTGCTGGTGTTTTAATACTACTCTACTACTGCTGTAATGTATGAGACAGTGTACCAGACAGTCATTAACAAGTTTAAGATACAGCCAACACGAAATTAAAAAACGACCACAGAATTGATGCCAATATTTGGTTTAAAATAGCGCCGTGACAGAACTCAGTGTTTTTACAGTCTTTTTCATGTGGCAAAATCCATCCTGTAAAAGCCCCAGTCAGTAGAGGAGTCATATAAAAAGTCACGTGTCTCACCTTGACTCCAGTGAGCATGCCTGTTGTGGACACGCTGAAATCCAGATAAGCTATCATCTCTGCTGTGGGCGGCTTATAGATCTGTGGAGGCCGGCGGCGAGGAAGGTCATCTGCAAACACCAATAATGCGGGTTTTACAGCGCTGTGCACAAAGTAAACTTAAGATAATATTGAGCAATGATATAGAATAGGATCCAGCAAGCAACAACTAACTCAAAGTTCACCAAACAGGTGTCTATTCACAAATCTACCCACTGAGCAACTTGGATAACAATTGTAGAAAGCAGTGAAATGTCCAGCTTCCTGTTTTAGTGTCTCAGTGTTGCAGATTCAAACAGTCCACAATAACCGACGCCAACTTCATCTACGCTGCCTCGACTGCGACCCACAACTAATGAACCATGTTCCTGCTTTGAATCTGACACATGAGAAAGTCAAGCGCTGTGAACAACGTGTACTTAATTTGGAGTGTGTATGTAAATAACAAGAAACTGCAGGATTTAAAGTTTTGTCATATGTTAAAACTGAACAGGGGAAAAAAGTGTTTTATTTTCTCATTTTCTTTTCGGCGTGTTTGCTTATTTACAGCTTTCACGGCTGATTTATTTAAAAATCACGTTGATGGACCATTGAAAACTATAGCATAGCAAAATGACAGCAAACTGTTATAAAAGCAGCTCCCTCAGTCACAATGGGGCACTGCAGTGGGCAGCTACACACGTTTGCTTTTGCATCGGATGCCTTTACAGTGGACACAACCCCAAAAAGGATTTGTGTAACCTCCGGAGACCAAGTAATGGATCTTTTCCTTGTTAGGCAAATGTGTAAACCACCATACTATGAAGCTACTAATAAAAACAAAGAGTCATTAACCTTTAATTTTTGATTAATTTTGATCAACCTTCTGATAAATACGATAGTTTATAATAAACAAACTTTTATATTTACCAGAATATTTACCAAAATGAATGAACTGTGAGGACAGTGAATCATCTTTCTTTAGAATGCCTGACTTTCACATTACTGACTTATTATTCATAATTCTTTGATACAAGGATTAATAACTGAATACTAACTGCATACTTACATCTGAGTTGCAAATACTTGACGGTGTTTATAAAACATTAAAAATAGCTGGAACGTCTCAATCATACCAACTGGCACCACAAGGGGGGGCCTGATTTAGCCCATGGCTTGTAACCAGAGCATCATGCAGTACTCAGATATGTTCAGGCTTGATTAACATACTAAGAGTATTTACTACCTGTGTCAATGATTGTTGGCCAGGTTTTAACATTAACAGAGGCAGCTGCCTCTTTGGAGCGCAGAGTCCTCATGAGGTTTTGTGTCGTAAGGATGCACGCAGCTTTACTGACCTGGTAACAAAACACATTTGAATGGGAGCGTGAACAACACAACAGTCAGAATCATTTTTGTTGTAAAATTGTGAGCAGCACATTCCATCAGCAGGTCGATTACAGTTAAAAAGTGGAAACTACGATGGACACTGTAACTGGACCCACTTCATGAGCATAATTTGCTCTCGGAATCAATGTAGCTTGTAAATGGAAATTATTTCAGGAAACTGGATGCCATAAAGATCTGTTAAAATCTAATGAAGCGCAGAGAGGCGCCAAGTAGTTGCAGAGTTATTTTTGGTGAAAGCATAAGTAGAAGTAATCCAGTGTATGGACGTGTTTTTTTTAGTCCTAATATCTACACGAATGAGATCCTGCTTAGGATTAAATGAAAGGACAGGCATAAATGCATGTAACCACATGCACTTACGTCAATGATCATGCGGACAGTAGGCAGCGTGGCTGCCAGGTTCTGAGGGTGCGGAGGCCTGACGTTTACAGGAACACATCCAGCATAGAGACAGCCGTAAAAAGCAGCAATCAAATCGATCCCTGAGGGAAAACAAACAGAGGAAAATCATTTCATAACAATGATGACGGAAGGAACGCTTAGACGTGGAGCCGGAGGTAGAACCCACCAGGAGGATAGAGCAGCACTACATTCTCTCCTGTGTTGATGCTGCCTTTCTCAGTGAGCGCTGCAGCTATCTTCTCAGCTCGCTTATGAAGCTGGACACAGGTCGCTGTCCCCACTGTCACACCCTGAAGGACAGGTGACAGTAAGGTTACTATGTATTGTTTTTGTCAATCACATAGATGATGTACGGCATTTTGCAGTGTATGGACAGATCAGTTTGGTACCTTGGCGTTAAGAAGAATGTAGAGAACGTGGTCTGGGTCTGTCTGTGCCCTCCACTGTAGCGCCTCTGTCAAATACTGATGCTGTTATTAAATAAGAAACATAATTACACACTGTAAACTGAGGGTTTTTTTGTTTAAGTGTATAAAATATTACAAACCCAGCCACTGGGGGTAAATACAGGAAGGGTGGTGTTGAAAAAAAGAATTTATTAGGGTCTAAATTTAAAATAAACAAAGCGATGCTTACACTGAGTGTGCTGTCTGAGAGCTGTCTGGTATAAATGATCTGAACAAGAATTAATAGCACACTAAGCCAATATAGCTCTTATAGTAATGAACCCTAACTTAGGATGTGAAAGGTACATCAGCAATAAAAATAAAGGGTGACATTCATGGAAGGTGCTTATTTTCTGAAATACCAAAAAGTTAAAAACCCATGCAAATTCTTGCTTACGTCAGAACTGAACGAAAGCACACAAACTAAAACCACAATACAATACAGATTCGAGCATGACCAGAATAAACGAGGGTGGGGAACATGCCAGAGAGGGTCGTGATTCTTACCATTACGGTGGGCCACATACAGAGCTACATCCAGAGAGTGACGAGAGAAGAGAGAAAGAAGAGTCCAGATTTTTCTATAAAACTGAGCTCTGGCTGAGGTAGAGCCATTGTTACAGTGGCAGCTGAAATGTTTCAGTGTTTCCTATTTTAACACACTTTGCTGAGCAATGCTGTTAATTACATGCACAGGGTGCCTGCAGCTTCTGAAAGACTTGCATTTAGCTCTTGTGAAAAACAGGAGTTAGGTTAAAAAGGGTACGGTCACACTGCAAGAATCAGTGCAAAATTCTGATATAGTTCTTGCATACATTCATCCATTCACATTTTCATTTATTGCAGATTCCAATTAATGTGCAGTAGACACCAGAGCATTTCAACCAGTGCCAAAGAGGATGAGAAGATGAACATTTTATGGCCATTTCTGCCGGCAGTTTGATCGAAGCTTGGGTTATCAGATTCGGAGTTCGGTGCTCATAGTTCTAGTACCTTTCGGACCAGATCCTGATCTTCAATCAGACCGAGGTCTCTCCCTGCAGCCTGGGCAATCCTCTTTCCTGCCACCAGGTTTCCCACCATGACAGATGCAGGACCGACACCAACTACAAGACAAAACAGTCCGAAAGAGATAAAGTGAAATAAAGTAGGAGGCAAAAACAAGACAGGGAGGCCAGACCTCAAAATTATCAAAGCTGTGTGAGATCATCTTGACACAGAAACAAACAAAAGGCAGCATCGAGAGAAGAGCTTTGAATGTCCTTCAAGAAGCCCGGAGAACTATTCCTGAAAACTACTTAAAAAATAATAATAATAATAAAAATAATGTATACTTTATTGATCCCTGTGGGAAAATTCCTCTCTGCATTTGACCCATTCACTAAGTGAAGCAGTGGGCAGCCATTGGGCACCGGGGAACAGTGTGTAGGGACGGTACCTTGCTCAGGGGTACCTCAGTGTAGCTGTTCAGTGGATTCGAACCCCCGACCTTCCGATAATGGGGCCACCACTCTACCTACTGAGCTAGCCCTGCCCCAAAAATGACAGGAAAGCTTGTCTAAGAGAGTTCAGACTCTGTTTAAGACTGAAGGTTGTCAAACCAAATACTGAATTGTTAGAATAGTACAATCACTGTTTATTTAGATGCCATGCATGTTTGCACATTTCAATAAGTTCCTGCTCTTATTTCGCAGTTTCCTAGCAAAACACCTAGAAATGAGTGTTTTACTGCATCTATATCCTTATGACTGCACAGCAGACCCATAGGTTTCCTACAAACTACATCTATAAACAGTCTCTGTGCTGGACTCCATTTAATAATTTATGCTAAATACGTTTAAATTATGAACCTCCTCACCGAGGCTTCGTTTGGCATAATCTTGTAAGAAATTGATGGGGATCATCTTCAGTCATGTTGAACAGAAGTTTGTGTCAGACAGACCTACCTGGCTGCTTCTGGCGGGGCTTGGGCAGGTTGGTGACACAGGTATGGGGACACATTAGGATATTGCAGGGGTGGAGATTGCCCTCTAAGAAAAACTGCTTTGTGTCAGAAATGTGGATGCCACCCAGCGGCGTTTTTGGTAAGGTGTTCGCCGGGACCAGAGCCAAGCAGTAGAGCCCCACTTGGTGGATGCTATCAATAGCCTACAGATGAAACCAAGCACTGAGATTAGCTTTGCTGGGTAATGTTCTATATGTCGAATGATTTTTCGATAACTCCAAAGACTGAAGATTATATTGTAGACACACTGAATGGAGGCTTCCATTCGAACGCTGTGGCTGAATTTACCTGAAGCACCCGGCTCATCCACTGGAAGCTGTCCTCCTCGCTGGCATCGGGCCTCTGCTCTGCCACAATTACAACCCTCTCATCATAGAACACCGTGACTGAAAACACAGCGATCCTGACACACACGAGGATACACAAACTCACTGAAGATTAGCCAGAAGACGTGGAAATCAAACACAAATGAGCAGTTTAAAGCATACAGAAAGTAGAAATACTTTATCTTTCAATAATCCCTTCAGTTGTCAGTGTGGGGCCTGCTGTGTTTCCTCTATACCACTAGATGTCAGTAGTTATAAATAAGATTTGCACTTGACCCACCAAAGAGCTCTAAGATTATTTTCTTTAATCCATGAAGAAGAGTTTTGCCTCACCTGCCACGGTACACAGTCTTGACCGGCTCAACTGCAAGAGCTGTGGCCACCAAGTCGTCGGCGTTGTGTCTCCGCCCGCTCACCATCAGCAGGCCTTCGATCTTCCCCACCACGAAGATGAGACTGCCCTGTACAGAGCAAGTGATGCAACAGCAGGGTTGTTATACGGTTAGTGAGAGAGACGAATGGTTTCAGGTTGCCACAGAAGTGCTCTAATGAAAGAGTCCTACTTACTGGGCCAACAAACCCCAGGAGTCCAGATCGCACAAATGGAATCTCTCCAATGGGAACTCCGTTAGCGTTAACCGGTATCACCTGGGCACGACGACGCAAAGAAAGAACAGCAAAACACACAAAAACAGAATCAGCTTTAACTGCGTCCCTTACTAACGATGGTGGCAGCATGTGCAGTTTGAGTGTTGGTTATTCTGCTTTCGCACCTCAAAGGTGTTTTTGGTGAGTCCAGGCAGGCCATAGTACATGTTGCCTCCTGCACGGGAGTTGATAATTATCTCTCCAATTTCATCTGTTTTACACAACTGAGGCGGTCCATCTGGCTTAACGATACACATCAGAGCTGGAGGGACAAAAAGGCAAAGTTAAGAAAACACGGACTTCCTAATTTAAAATGATTCCCTTGATAATTTTATCTTAGACGTATGACTAAAAAAAAGTCCCACTTTCATTCTTTGTTGCGTACATGTATTCAGATTTACATCCTTTCTGTTATTTTTGCAGTTTAAAAAGATTGACTGGATTGACAGAATGTGGGAAAGTGTAGACTTTCAGCTTAAATTTAATAAAAGAGTGTATTACTTGTTTTAACAATTAACAATTTTTATATTCAGTCCCCTATCTGAGTGTCATAAATATAAATGAACAAATTAACACAGTTACATCAAAATATTCATTTTAAAGACTTTGCTGAGGATCCTTTGCAGGAAATGGCTGCACGATGTCAGGAAGCAAACAGATAACACCAAAGAATGAGTTTCCTCCTTTGGGATTCCTTGTTTCCAGGCCTGCAAATGTTTTTTATATTTTGGGGTTCTTTATGCCTTCAGTCTTGCCTTTCTTTACCTTCAGAAACTCCTGGGTTTCATTTTAGCTTAAAGTACAAATTTGTCTGCTTAACCACAGATGCACACTTATGCATCAGACTGCCTCCAATGTCTAATCTTTGTTTTCTACTGCTGAGGCTTATGAGGGGCTTATTACAGGCTTGGATTATGACATGTCTGTCTCCTAGAGGTTTGATAAATGTTTTTTTTTCTCTTTATGATGGAAAGGATCCCATGATCACTGACCAAATTAGTCCAGGTTCAAGTACAACAGTGCATCCTTTTACCCCCCTCATTATTGTGCCAACGTGCTAATGTCCCTGCTAGTTCTCTGGTGGATATTGACCTCCACTGAGAGCTCCTTTAGTGCATGTTGTGGGTTCACAGATTAAGCTTTTAAAAATGAAATGCCACACTTGGAATCACTTCCAAACCTTTGACCTCATTCATTTATGAGGAAATATTAATGAATAGGCCGCGTCAATTTTTCGTATAGATTGTTCAATTACACATGAGCCCAGATAAACAGGGCACTATATATATATAAAAATGGCAGTTGTTGGTACAATATTTTAGTTTGACCTCCTAAGTGAAAGCTTAAAGTCTGCATATTCATTACAAACTGTAACATGAACAAGTGTTGGTATATAGCCAAAATAATAAATGCTGTTTTAGTGTTCAAAAACCCAACTGTTTATGTCATGAAGTCTTAGAAATAAACATCTGCCAAAAAACTGGAACATTTTATCTGGATGTTGAAAAGAAGAAGATAATTATTTGAATTTCTAATTTTCTCATATGATTATACTTTTATGATTATATTTTTGAACAAGCTTGTTTGCCTCCATTTTCTTGGAGACGTGCAAAAGGTCAAACAGAAAGATTTCAGAGCTGGCGGCAACTAGGCCTATTACATTTTTACACTATAACCACGTGGTTATAGTTAGTCAATATTGTAATCTCCTAATATGTATAGAAAACTGTTTTTTGTTTTTTTTTTAAGTGTAGGTCGTAATGGTCTCTTTTTTAGCAAATTAATTACAATCAAAAAAACAAATGCAAACAAAAAGCCGTTTATCATGCAGCTTTTCTTCTACCCTCACCTCCAGGCATGACGTGCCCCACATCTTGTACAGTCAGAGCGGAGTTCTTGTCTTCCGTGTTCACCCTGATGACACCGTGGCTCAAGCCACCCATGGAAAGGATGGCACGGGCAGGAAGAGGCGCACCAGGCACTCCGGATCTACACGAGTAGACAGTTCACAATCAAACATGGATGTTTCCATCTGTTAGCCATCTGCCTACCCTCTTATGAACAACATCACATATAAATTTCTGTCTAGTTGGACTGAAATACAAGCTGTGAAGGTGGCTTGTGTGAGACATGAAAGAATAGAAAGAATTTGGTTTTAATCTTCTGGTTTTGTCTTTAAGTTTTCTGTAATTTTTAACAACATCCAATAAGAGCAGTGAATATAGGTCAGTGAGTTACCTTCGTATAGCTACCGTCATGGCCTCTGGAGATGTGGCACAGGGGCAAATCACCTCAGGCTTCAGCCCATGAGACTGGAACTTGTTCAGGAAGGCATCGCAGGAAGACACTGACCCTGGAAAGTACAATTTTAAAAGTGTGACATCTAATTTGGCTTGTTGGAAAAGACCCAGTTTTACAAAGCAGCGATGGCTCGGGACATACTCACAGGGATTAGCACCATCAGCAACAATGAGCATTCGTAATGAAGCCAGGCTGATGTCTCTCTGCTCCCGATGAGCCATCATGGCCCAGTGCAGATCTCGGCACTTCACCAGAGCTACACGAGCTGCACAACAGCAGGAGTTACATGGAGTATTATAAAATTATTTTTTAATACACTTCGTCTCAGAGTAAAAGATAATTTACCTTTATGGATGTGGACCCTCTGCACCCAGGAGAGAGGACAGGCTTTCATCACTGCATAGGGAACGCTGATCGTGTGTATCCTGTTCATTACAGCCTGCAATCAAACAACCTGATTACTGGAGGTTGCAAATAAAAAAAAAACTGGAAGGGATTTTTTTCCTTCCAACTTGACAAACAACACAAACAGTGAGAAACCCATTTTGTGATGATTTTGTGCAAGAAATCTTTCATTAGTAATTTAACATTTTACATTTACTAGCGAATTTATAGTTCAGATATAATGTGCACACAAATTAAGACGTTGTACATGCACCTAGCTGTATATGCAACCTAACCTAACCTAGAAATCTACAGCTAATGACACTCACTGTGAGAACTCCATGCCATAAGCCCATGTCCTTTTTGAAGTCCAAGACATTCACCAAAGTTTCCCCTTAAAACAGAGACACAAACACATAAGTGAGGTTGGCTATGTCTAAACAATCTAAACTGAGACATGACTCAAGTTGTGATTTGCTGTTATATAAATAATATGGAGCTGAACCGAAATAAAGCTTTGTGTAATGGATGATGCAAACACTATCCTTCTACTCACCCTCACAGTAGTTGCAGGCCTGAGTCAGTGATTGGCAGTGGGTTAACATGGCCACTTTAGACACAGCCACGCCCACCACTGTGCCCTCCTTATTTGCTTTATACTACAAAGAGATGAAGCAACAGATGAGCCACAACACACCTGACTAAAATGATGCTTTAAAATATTTTTGGTACTTTGACAGGATGGAATAGGCTCTAAGAATGAAGCAACAAAAGTAAAAATAATAATAAGCACAGCTGTGTTACCTCTATGTATGCAGGGTCAGTGTTAGCAGTGGGAATGTGCGGCTGCCAGTCTTTGGATGGTTTCGTCAAGTACTTTGAATCTGTTATCACCCACTTCATTCGAGGCCAGCCTAACAGAGACAGGGAAGATATGCATCACACAACAATTTCGAGAAATATTTAATTTCTTTAAAAACAAAAAACAACAACAACAAAACCTCACAGGTTTTCTAAAAGCCACCAAAATTGATCTGAACTAAAACCCCAATTCTCCCTAAAAAATGGGATGCTGAGTAATGTGTAAAAAAAAAAAAATGCAATGATTTGCAAATCATATAAACTCACACATAACACAGAAAACATGTCAAATGTTTAAACTCAGGCATACAAATATTAGATCATTTTATATTTGGATGGATTTTGTAACATGTCTGAAAAAGTTGAGATGGAAGAAACAAAAGGATGGAAAAGAAAGTTATGCTGAACTGAACTAACTGGGTCAGTAACATGAGTGTGAATGGACTCAGGGACACTTCCAGAAATCACAGTCTGCGAACACAGTTCGCTGTGCGATCGACAAATGCAGTTTGAAGCTTTATCGTACAAAGAAGCAGCCGTAAGTGAACATGATCAAGAAAAAAGTGCTGTCTTCCCTGGACCAAAGTGCTTTTAAAATGGACTGAGGCAAAGTGTAAAACTATTCTGTGGTCAGATGAATGAAAATTGTGTATTGTCTTTGGAAAACATGGATGCTGCATCATGTGGACTAAAGTGAAGAGGGACTATCTGGCTTGTTTTCCATGCTCAGTTCAAAAGCCTGCATCTCTGATGGAATAGAGCTGCATTGGTGCCTTTTTGGAAACGGTATCTTTCACAAGTTTAAAGGTGCCAACAATGCAGAAAGGTATATGCTCCCATTAAGACAAACACCTCCTTCATGGAAGGCAGCTATTACAACAGCTTCATAGTAGAAGAGGCGAGGTACTGAACTGGCCTGCCTGCCTGCAGTTCACACCGTTCACCAAATGAGAATATTTGGCTCATCATGAAACAAAAAATAGGACAAAGAAGACCCAGGACTGTTGAGCAGACAACATTTCCTTCCAAAAGGTCCAGCAGCTGGTTCCTCAGTTTCCAGATGTTTATGGACTGGATGCCACACAGCAGTACGCACAGACCTGTTCTAACTGTTTTGATACGTGTCGCTATGAAATGTTACTTTTTCTCATTTAAAACATTTGGTCTGTTTTCCAGGTTCTACTGTGAATAAGAGTTTTTGAAATTTGCAAAACAAAGCATCCCAATGTTTTTGACATTAGTGTTGAATTAGACAAAGGTTGCTTTTTTTTAAAACAAAACAGGTATTCAGGACATTCAGGACAGAACTTGCTTGCTGACCTTTAAATTGTAGTATTTCGCCCGTGGGGGTCTTGGGTAGGCCTTTCAGGCAGATCTCACTAGTCAGAGCCAGACCAACGCCACAGCTACCGAGCAGAAAACCCACCTGGCTGATACCTGCATCCTAAACACGTCACAAACAGGACAACAAGAAAGCACTCAGATTTTTGAACATAATAAAAACATAAAATGAAAGTTTCCTGTGACGGTTTTTATACCTTGCGAGACAGCGGTACCTCAATAGGTACAGGTATAACTTCAGCAAGGAGGCATCCATAAAATGCCACCCAGAACATCCCGGGGTCACTGTTGGGGTACACCAGCGCCACCTACCAAGAAAGTTTAGTTGGACGTTAAAACAAGCACTTTCTGGGGCCAGTGGTCATTTTAATAAAGTAAACCCTCTTCCATATCAGTCGTTTTACGTAACAGGACATAATAGACATAAAAGCAGCATAGAAGCAGTGTGTGAAAAACTAAAAACAGTCTTTTTTGATGTTATTTTCAACAACAACAAAAAAAATCCTGCCTCCCACAGAGGCAGCAGCAATAAATTGTGATACAGTCAATGTTCATTGCAAATACACAAGTTAAAAATAATCATTTGCTGTAAATAAGTGTGTGTTTTCTGAGTGTGAGCTCTTACTCGGTCTCCTGGTTTGAGGATTTGCTCGTTTTTAGTGCCCAGTTTGTTCAGGAGGGTGTACGCCAGCTTCACACTGCGACTCCACAGCTTCCCTAACAGACAGATGGTAGATTTTGAGGGGGCGGGGGGGGTTAGCACCTTTAGAAAAATATAATGTCAAAGAGTTTGCACATTTTTTTTACTATTACTAGGTTTTAAAATAATAAACATATATAATGTTATCTTTCAATCGTCACAATAAGCGTTTATGACATTAAATGACATCATTTTACTGACTTGATGACGTTATACTTCTCTCTTTGAATCTTGTGTCTCACCATAAGTCAGTGTATAGAGTGGTTTGCCTGTGATGTCGAGAGCAGTAAGGGCGGGGCTCTTCCCCTGAGTGGCTCCCCAGCGAGCCAGCGCTGCCTGCAGGGCTGGAGGCCAGTTACTGACCACTCCCAAAGGCTCCCCTTTCACTGGGATGATCTGACGGCCCTCTGGCTTGGGTGTGTTGGGGTCCGGTTGGGGCACTGTGAAAGAGAGACAACAGGACAGTTTTGAGTATATTACAGACTAATGAGATGAGATATCACGGAGGTAAAACCGGTCCATGCGGGGTATCAGTTTCCTCCTACATGGTTTCCCCCTTTGTTTCCTGAGCTCTCATGTTACCTGCTTTTTTTTTCTTTTTTTTTTTAAATTTACTAACATATATATATATATATATATATATATATATATATATATATGTATATATATATATATATATATATATATATATATATATATATATATATATATATATATATATATATATATATTTATTTATATATATATTTATTAGGGGTGCAACGATACACAAAATTCTCGGTTCGGTTCAATACTTTGGTGTCACGGTTCGATATTTTTTCGATACAAAAAAATCGTTCATGCCTTTTTAATTTGTCATTTATTAAAATTATAAATATATATTTTAACTCAAAAGTACAGTTTTTAAATTTAATGTTGCTGAAACAAAAGTAATTAAAAAAATAAATATATCTCAGTGCTCTCAAAATTTCAAATTTCCTGGTAGCCCTTCGGGCAGGGACTCTTCAGTTTTTGGTAGCCCAAAATAAATGTGAGTAGCCCGAATAAAAAAGAGAGCAATTTTTTGATTGATGTTGTGTTTCCTTTACAATATTATACATTAAAGTATAATATTGTAAAGGAAACAAAACGTTAATCAAAAAATTGTTGAAAAACAAATTACAACATTGTATAAAAATTACAATCATCAACTCAAATACTTGGTTCTAATTGAACAGAAATTTCTATGAACTTGTAAGAACTGTGTAGGACATGAATCAGTCTGTGTCAGATCCTGAATTTGAAATTTCCACTGAAGTCACGGGTAAGAGACAAGTGGAACCAAGATCTAGGCCATTTGCTTTTTGAAGTTTGCAAAGACTGTTACATTTTGCCAGTGGTAGTTCACTCTTTGCAACATAGTACGCTGTTCTAAACAGATTTTTCAGGTTTATTTTTAGTATGTTATTTGCCATTGGTGTTTGTTCTGGGAAAGATATTGCAGACTGAGCGATAATGCATTTCTTGCATTTCTAATGGGGGCCTTTTTTAAAATGATTGGTCCCAGTAACAAAGGCGCTTGTCGACTCAGAAATCGAGAGAAAACCAACAACACACCCGGCAGAACATTATGTTATTTACACGGGTGCACATAAGTGGTCCGCATGTGCGCATTCGCTGTCAAAATAAAAGACGCGCACCAGATAAGAAGTTGCAACGCGCGTTTGCGTCCATATAAAAGCACTGTTTTAGTCCGCTAGAGTGGGATTTTCACGGCACATTCCGCACCACATCTCTGTGCGTTCATCATTTGTTTGAAGCCAGCTCACCTCCTGCAACTACTTTTCCGAGAATACGCGCTTCTTTTGTGGTTCGGACTCCTTCTGACATTTCTTTGGAGGTGGAGGAACACCAAAGTAATTGCTTAAAGGAGCTTCTTCGACATCTTTAAGAGTTTTAAACAAATGTCTGTCCTCGTCCAGAAAATCTTATGTATGCAAACACGCGTTGCAACTTCATATCTTGTGCGCGTTTTTTTTTTGTTTGTTTTTTTGACAGCGAATGCGCACCTGCGGACCACTTATGTGCAGTCCTGGTTATTTAGCTCATCATATTGCAGCCACAGAAATTCTTTTGTCCATGAAACCAGAAAGCTGCACTTTCTTTTTGCCTTATAGTCTGATTTGTCATAACTTTTACGTTTTGTGGTAAGCTTTTCTTTGGCTGTCACTTCTTCACCCTGACCTGTCTTATTTGGCTCAGCAGAACTAAAATATGTATCCTGCTGCTTTTACACACACACACATAACGGTCAGCGATTCTCTGCGCGATCAACCTCTCATATGTTTAAGCTTGCTGCGGGAGATTTCACTTGTCATGTTTGCATAGTAAGCTAACAATTGATAAGACGATGTCAGAGGAATTGGTGCCCAAATTATCATCACTCACCAATCAGTACTGTCGCTCTCTATACACAGTTCGCGCGATTGCAAAGTGAAAGCAAAAAACAAGGCAAATTCAAACGCGATTTCAATATGTCACATATTGACAGTGGCTCACCGATGCCAATGACATAGTTACCCAGCTACATTTCCGAAAGAATGCAAAAGCATTGACATATATTTTTCCTTCCTACAATAGCCCGACGGGCAGGGCAGAGATAGACTTTGGTAGCCCGACTGGAAAAATCGCTAGCTCCAGGACGTCGGGCTAGCGATTTTGCAAGCCCTGTATCTGATTGAGGAATCACTCATCTTTGGAAAAGAGAGTTTATTACAGAGAAATGGCTCTTTCCAAAATAAAAGCTATACTATACGCTTCTTCTGGGCTATATTCTCAGCAGCATATTTTAGTGGGTCAGGGCTGTTCGGGGTTCTGTTTGTACAGTTATGTTTTGTTTATGTTGCCATAGTGACGGGTGACGCCCTCTCGCTGCAACGGTGTGTCCTTCCGGGGTCAGAGGGCGCCCTGTGTGTTGTTGTTGTTGCTGTGCGGTTGCCGGCGCTGAGCAGTTAGCTAGCGGCAGTGTTCTTCTGCAGATGTCAATAAACGGCTGTGCTCCCTGGCTAGCTCACGGGAAGCAAGACCAAACGACACCTCCGTCTCCTCGTTGTCTGAGCTCGCCACATTGGTGTCAGAAGTGGGATGATGGTGGCACCCCATGTTCTGACCCGAGTGACTTTGGTGCGCCAAAAGAAGGCACCTGGACATTTGCAAAGTGAAAGCAAAAAACAAGAGCAAATTCAAACACGATTTCAATATGTCACATATTGACAGTGGCTCACCGATGCCAATGACATAGTTACCCAGCTACATTAACGAAAGAATGCAAAAGCATTGACATATATTTTTCCTTCCTATGATAGCCCGACGGGCAGGGCAGAGATAGATTTTGGTAGCCCGACTGGAAAAATCGCTAGCCCCGGGACGTCGGGCTAGCGATTTTGCAAGCCCTGTGTTAACTTACAGGCATGGCCCTTTAAGGATGAAGCCTGATGGGAAATGTATTCGGGATGTGTGTAGCGGGACTGCCTGGTGTGTGTGTGTGTGTGTGAAGAGAGAGAGCGGAGAAGGGGAAAAAGTAACGGTTAGCTACAGAAGAGACGGAAATAAAATAAATAAAAGGAATATAATAACTCCCTCGACAGCCAGAGTTGTGTCGGCGATGCTCGCTGTGAGTAAACTGTTTCAGCCCACTGTACGCGGTGTTCGTGCCTTAGAGAAGAAATAAAGTTCGGTGAAGCAGTTTCCTACGCCTCCTTCGATCTTTTTGCTAGCGGAGTTGACCTGTATAGTAAGCTGTTGCCGGCTACGAGTCAGTTACGGAACCTTCAAGTAACTGCCAGAGGTTTCCTTACTACGGTCGGGGCCGCGGATCTGGCGCGGTAACACCTGTATCTGATTGAGGAATCGCTCATCTTTGGAAAAGAGAGTTTATTACAGAGAAAAGGCTCTTTCCAAAATAAAAGCTATACTATACGCTACTTCTGGGCTATATTCTCAGCAGCATATTGTAGCGGGTCAGGGCTGTTCGGGGTTCTGTTTGTACAGTTATGTTTTGTTTATGTTGCCATAGTGACGGGTGACGCCCTCTCGCTGCGACGGTGTGTATTTCCGGGGTCAGAGGGCGCCCTGTGTGTTGTTGTTGTTGCTGTGCGGTTGCCGGGCTGAGCAGTTAGCTAGCAGCAGTGTTCTTCTGCAGATGTCAATAAACGGCTGTGCTCCCTGGCTAGCTCACGGGAAGCAAGACCAAACGATACCTCCGTCTCCTCGTTGTCTGAGCTCGCCACATTGGTGTCAGAAGTGGGATGATGGTGGCACCCCATGTTCTGACTCGAGTGACTTTTCCCCGCCGGTCGTGACCGGCCGGTGCGCCAAAAGAAGGCACCTGGACATTTGTGTGGGGTAATGGGGTCGTCGGGGACGACTGACCCCTTAGGTGGGGGCTATGTAGCGGGTCAGGGCTGTTCGGGGTTCTGTTTGTACAGTTATGTTTTGTTTATGTTGCCATAGTGACAGGTGACGCCTTCTCGCTGCCACGGTGTGTCCTTCCGGGGTCAGAGGGCGCTCTGTGTGTTGTTGTTGTTGTTGCTGTGCGGTTGCCGGGCTGAGCAGTTAGCTAGCAGCAGTGTTCTTCTGCAGATGTCAATAAACGGCTGTGCTCCCTGGCTAGCTCACGGGAAGCAAGACCAAACGATACCTCCGTCTCCTCCTTGTCTGAGCTCGCCACAATATTAAACATATCAGGTCCCCATAAGGAGAATCATGTGCTAACGGCTGTCTAAATGACTCGGGTAAAGTTTGTAGCATGCATGCTTGTTGGTTTTGTCTGCTTCCACTTGTCTTTGCACTAGGATGATGTCGGGGTAAATGTGCAGTCATATTCGTTGTGTTCCCACTAGTGCTGTCAGCGTTAATCTCGTTGAAATGACGTTAACGCCACAACACGGCAAATCTCCGTTAACGAGCTACCCCTGCGTGGGGCTAGACGGCCAACACGTTAACGAGCTAACTGCGCTAACGCACTAGTTCCCACCCATGTAATTGAGCATTGCATGGCACATCCAACATACTGTTTTACTTTAGTCCATGACACGCTTACCTTCAGGGTCATACGTTACATGAAAACCAAAAAACCAAAATAATTCCAAACGCCAGATCTGAATGAGGGTGTCTGTGTTGAACGCTTAGTGGATCTGCGCTCGACAGTGCAGCCTAGGCGGAGTAGTCGAACGCAGATTCACTGAGCGCTCAACACAGACAGCATCGTCAGAAGGAAGAGCGATAAGAATTGGACAACATTCTGTAAAGTGAGTGCTGATAATGCATAGTTTGTTGACCAGAGGGCAGCTTGCCTGTTGGCAATGTGTGTTTGAAATGCCACAAACACAACGATCAGTTGATCCAAGCAGAGTTGGGCAGAGAATAAACAAGAAGTCTGCAACTTGTTATAACTATAAAGCAAGTTTATTCTTAAACTCTCTCTCTCTCCATATATATATATATACATATATATATATACACACACACACATACACATATATACACATACACACACACACACACACACACACATATATATATATATACATATATATATATATATATATATATATATATATATATATATATATATACATATACACACACATATGTGTATACACGTATACACTCCTTATCTCCTTATTCTAAAATAGATTTTTATCAGTGTTTTGCTTTACATCACACAAATTTGAATTCCAAAAAATCTCATATATAAAGACACTTATTTAAAACGATTTACAAATGCAAAGCACTTTTCTGTCACCATGTTGTGAAAAACGGTTCATTTTTATATCTTTTAATTTATTACCAACATATTACCTGTTAGGGATGCAGACTTGATTCGTTAATTATCCTTATTTTGTGTTTTTACTAACATTTTCAAACTTTAAAGCCAAGTACAAACATCCTTTTCCTCATAAATAGCTCAACATAATCAGTAAAGGATTAGAAAAATATTTTTGAACTGTCAGAAAAGCAATCGCCCTAAAAAAAAAAATCCAGGAATCTCTGTATGTCTCTACATGTGTCTGTTCATCTGGTTTGCAGGGAACCCGACAGAGTGCAGTGTTGACTTTGAAGTTTTCTGTGAGCTACTTTCCTTATTCACAAGGGGTCACTGTAGCAGATAGATATTTTATGTGGCAGTTTTTACACCAGATGGCCTTCCTGACGCAAGCCCAAAGGGATTTTTGTCTCCTCCAGGGAGAGAAACCAGGGATTGTCGCTTGCTAGGTGAGTGCATGCATTATACCATGGAGCCACTAAGTTTGAAGTTTTCAATAACACTGCACGTGAGACGTTCAGAGAACATCAGTAAATTCTAGCCTGGCCACACACCTTTACAAGCAAATTCTCAACCTGCAAAAGAAATTTGGGGACATTTATAAAACAATCAGTTCTTGCCACATATGCAATGACTAAACCAGTCATTGCATATGTGGTTTAATAAAAATAATACAAACTAGGTTTCTCCTTACCAGCAGCTGTTGACTCAGTTAGCATTAGCTCTGATTTCTGGGCAGATTACAGTGTTTAGAAACAGTGGCATACATGCTTTCACTGCGTGCATCCTTAGAGTTGTCCTCTTTTAGACCAACTTCCTGCATGTGTGGCATTTAGGAAACATCTTTGCATGTAGCCCCTAAAATATCCTGCATCACACTCACCCTAAATGGGAACTATGCTAGTTAGTTACAACTTTTAAACTCTTTGGCTTATTAGAGAAAGCTAAATATACATTTGTAAAACAGGTAAGTGTTCATAAATAATCAGAAATGTCATTTTGGAGCACTACATCTGACTATTTTAACTTATTATAAAACGTTGGAGTAAGGAGGGGCACAAATTCCAATTTTTCTATGTGTAATTTGTGCAAGTCGAACAGTCTACCGCTACAGCTAATTCAGTGCAGCAGCGTACCTTCTACGATCTCCTCGGCATCATCGGTGAAGAAGTCACTGAGCGGGGGCCTCTTAGGCCTCTTCAGGGTGTTCAGCAGCTGCTGAATCTTAGTGGAGACCCTGCTGCTTACAGGAACTCCTACAGGCAGGGTGAAGGTGGAGAGGGGCAGCAGCAGGGATAAATACACAGTCACACATCCCACGACACACAGTGACAGAACATTAGAACATTGTTTAAGCGTCTTACCATCACATAGTCTGCTGTTTTTCATGCCGTAACTTTTTAGTAAAAAATTGAATTAACCACAGATACACCATTTTGAGTCAACCGTAACATATGTCCGGACTGAAAAGCAGCAGCGCGGTGGGTGGCGTCAACACAAGGAGAACGGAGTGAGAGCCGGGATAAAGGTTTTTTTTTGGTTTGGGATCACACATGAGGATTCTTTTTGTGCGTGTAGACGTTGCTTTTGTTTCATTTCCTGGTTAAATCACTAAGTACACACAGCAGGGAGAGTCAGAAACACAGAACGCCATGGACATTGTAGATTAAGGAGTTTCCTTACTCTGTATATTACCTCTTCCTATTAGCCGGTCAAAAATAATTTGACAGAGTGGAAAAAAAGAAAAAAAAATCGGGAAGAAAAACAACTTGATTAATAAAAAGGTCACAGCTGGAAGTCAACACTTATTTGAAGAAAGAGAAATCAGATTCTTGCAAAGAGACACAAAATGTTAAAAATGAACTGTTCTCCATTACCATCCGCTGTCTCCATCATGCTCGAGCGGCTCTGTCCCCGGCTCATCCCTCGGACGACAGCGTTGGAGGGCAGGTCCACGCGTGGGCCTCTGGCCGGAGGGGCCACAGCTGTCACATCTGGAGGAGGTGCACTATTCTCTGAGTGGGCTGTAAGGGAAAGCAGTGAGATGTCCACGTGTTTTAATGGGACGAATGTACTGTAGCTATAATTTTAATTTTAAATTTAAAAAATAAAAATAAAACACTCATGCATTAGCAAAAACAAAAGACTATTATTACCTTCACACATGGCAGTGAAAAGCCCTCAGTTTATTTGTATGTGAAACACTACTCACAAGCTAACTATAGCTGGTAGGTTTATGTACTCTGCATTACAGGATTAGGCTATATTAAAGCTAGTTGTGCAGCATTACATAAATTGACCAATCAGATGATCCAAACTTTTTACCTGCTGCTTTTCCTCCAGTTAAATAATTAATAAGTCTACTGTCCTTTGCTTTAACATACACAACGTCTGCACAGAACATTCTCCACACAGGCGCACGTCTCACCAATGCGACTGTGAGCCAGCATGTCCGTCACCGCGGCAGTGCGAGGCTGCTCGTGGGGCTGGTGCTGAGGTTGGTACTGTGGTTGGTGGTGAGGCTTATAAAGAGGCTGGTACTGCGGTTTGTACTGAGGCTGAGGTTGGCTCTGAGGCTGTGGTTTGGCCTCCTGTGAGAGGGTGGAGGAGGCCGAGGAGGAGGTGGAAGAGCCCTGGACGATGTGGTTGACCCAAGACTCCGGGCTCTGCAGGTTGGGGTTGACCTGAGGCTGGGGAGCAACCACTGACGACTGCCTGCGCACGGCTGTCTCATCTTCGGATCCAGACGAGGAGTCTTAGTGCCACAAAACAAAATGTAAATGTCCATAATTCTTAACTAAAAAGTCCAACTTTAATGCCTTCGCACGTCCTACCTGGTGGTGTGCGTGTTTCAATGGGTGACTGCACGTATGTGGACCTGCGTTTGGTAGGCATGGGGAGCGCCATCTTCTCCTCCTTATGTTTAGCCAAGGCAGCTTGTACTGCCTCAGTATGGATATCTGTATTGACACAAACACATTTAGTTTAGGTAGAGATTAGTTCCAATGGCTTTGGATCTCATTCAGAGCAACAAAACAAAGAAGGCCACAAAGAAAAAAAGCTGTTCACATTCTTTCAACATGACTCAAGAATGTACATTTTGTTTACTACCTCCATTTATGGTCTTTTTCTTCCATTAGTGAGACCTTTTTTTTTCCCTGTTATATGAAAGTTTATTGAACTACTTCAAAGAGTCACTGCTGTGTGAATAACATTTTCATATGTTTGAATGATTTCCATAGGGGATCTCAACCGAGGAGCCGAGCCCCCTAAATGAGATTTCAAGGCACAGTAACTAACTTTAGGAGTCCCACGATAAAGAGAAAAAGAAGAAGAGAAAAATCTAGCAAGCTTGCAAAATAATGATGAAAAACATTACTTTGCTTTAGCTGGTGACAGCATTTTTTTGAGAGCAGGAGTGCAGTGTTATGTCTATAAGTCATGTTTAAAACTTGAAGAACGGTGACAGGTGAGAAGCCTGAAGAAATCCTTACAGGAAGACAGCGTTTTCCCAATGAAACGGCACACAGAGAGGAGAGAGCCAAGCCGTGTATTAGCCCACTCACATGCCTACACGCGCAAATGCACACAGTAATGAATGCCGAGATACTTTCACTTGATGACACCCACAGGCGCATTAAAAGGCACCGCGTAAACAGACGCACGCTCAGAACACGCGCCACAAAAGACGACTTAGGGAATTTTCACATCTATCGACTGGAGGGCATCATTTTTGTTGAAACGTCAACAGATTTAAATAAATCACAGAGCACAGCTCATTTCACAGCAGCAGTGGGGACCATAATTACATAACTGTCATTCTGCTTAACAGATTGTTCTCAGCTAAATCATTCGCTCTCATAATGTGCTGTTGCGCATCCTCGCACCGGAGCGTCAGGAGAGACGACTCCTTGCACATGTCCGGGAGGATGAGGGCGGTTTCCACGGTGATGGGCACAGTGGGGTGCGTGGCAGCTTGCGGTGAGTTTTACTCCAGTTCCAATCAATACTGACATGTGGGCAGCTGAGGACCTTTACTTATGTCTTTGATGCATGCCCGTTTTATTTATCTTCTTAATCTGAATCTAAAATGGTGTACATAAAACATAAAACATAAAGTGTAATCATAGCGAGAGCAGCTCCAGAAAGCAGTCAGCGGTGTATTCGAGTGAACTCCGTAGTGACAGGCTGTGTAAGAGGTGTAATAACTGCAGGAAGCCAGAGGCAATTAAATTGTTCTGCAGTCTGTTAAAATTATAACCACCTTATTTTTTCTGTTCCTCACTGCTGCAGTTTCTACTATTCTTACATTATTTTAGGCTGTAACACTTCTAATTAGAAATCTCTGACCTGCCATTTTCTAACAACATGACTCAAGGTCATCAAGTTCATTTTTTCTGTCGAGTAGGATCACAACTTTGGTTCTGATAGAAACTCCTCATCGGTTTTTGGATGAACTGCCATTATAAGCCTACTATAGTAATCCTTTGTTCCCCAGAGGGGTACACCTCCTGACTTTAGTGATCTTCTTTTTTTCCTCATGCCACCATCAGAAACACATTTGCATTTTTATTTTATTTTTTATGTAAAATGTGTCAGTACATGCTGCCAGCCTTTATCACGAGATATCCATGTGCCTCAGGGTGAAATGTGACACTTTTGATGATTTTTTTCATTAGTGCAAAATTACAACAAAGTACCTCAAAACTGATGGGCTCAGCTTTAGCTTCTGTTTTACTGCACATTAGCAAAACGTGTGCAAGCTAATTAACGTGCTAACATCAGTTATTAGCATTGCCGTTGTACATGGCAAGACTAGCATTCAGCTTCAGCATACACCCCCATAAACTTACTACCACAACTCTTCTTCCCCTCACCTACAGCCGGCTGTGGCAGATTCCCTTTTAACAGGAAGAAACCTCCAGCAGGTTTCTTCCTGTTAAAAGGGAGTTTTTCCTTCCCACTGTCACCAAATGCCTGCTCATAGAGGGTCATTATTGTTGGGGTTTTCTCTCCATTATTGTAGGGTTGCTACTATACAGTATAAAGTGCTTGAGGCAACTGCTGTTGTGATTTGGTGCTATATAAATAAAACTGAATTGAATGGAATCACCACAGCTTCAGACTTAGTCGTGTAGCCTAAAATTTGCAAAAGGGAACAAGATCAGGAACAGAAATATTGTTTTATACATTCTGTGCTGAAACGGTTTTTGTTGATTTTCTCCAAACCTCAGAGTTAAATATGCAGTATGTGGACACAGTATTGGGCCAAACAATGCCTTAATCTTGGAATTCAGGTGTATAAAACCAAAGAAACCTAGCCACACAGCCTGCCTCTAAAAACATTTCTGAAAGAATGGGTCCTCTTAGATTTTAGTTGAATAAACATAATTGTGAAAACATCAATGTGTGTGGTGTTGTATTTCCTCAGTGCATCAATATATTTGCATATTCTGTATTTTCCAGCATGTAAAGGAACTTCTTGTCCACTGTGACACTCCTTTTTGTTCTCATCCTGCAATATAAACTTAGTTGAGGAATACCATCTGCCATTCAGCTTGGTTTTATTTTACATTTTCTCATCTCTCAATTTAACCACTTTTGCAGTATTTGCAATTCTTTATACCAGAATTCATTTCATATGTCGGAGACTTTCGAGACTACGAAAACATTGTGGAACGAAGCACAACAATTCTGGGAGCAATTTTCATTCCACTATGGAATCCAAATTAAGGGTTTTGAACCACAGAAGTGACTGTGACATAGACAATAACACAGATAAATGCATGTGTCTCAAATCTAAATTCACTGCCCACTACACTGTAAACTACTGATTGTCTTATAAAAGAGCAGTAACTGAATACACAAGGGAGCTTTATTGCCAAGTTTCACTCACAGTAAGTATAACAATCATAGCCTGACCAACATAACAACAACCTATTTTGAAGCCAGGACACAAATATAGCTTTTGGGGACTTTCAATATTTAAATTCTTATCTATCGTGCAATGCCATCAGCGAAACATCAAAACAAAGATTTATTTCCTAACACAGACCTGTTATCACAATTTCAATTTAGCCTCTACTGAGTTTTTTTAAGCTCTAATCTTTCTGAATCCTCCAACCAGATTAAACAAAAATAATGTATGTTGCCCCTGCCAGTAAGATTTTCTGTAAAGCTGAAACATTTTTAGACAACTCTCCACTAAACTCCAGTCTGACAGACAGACTTTAGATTAGTCAGCCTGGCATTTAGCATGCTGCACAGGCTGAGAGGCTTTTTAAGAAAAGAACCAGCAGGGTGTGGGTCAGCCCACAGGGAGATGCTTTTAGAGCCCGACTCTCAGTCAACAAACACTAGTTGTGTCCTGCACACGTGCTTTGTGCTTCTCTTGTCTCATCTTCACGTGAAAAGGAAACAACCATCTCTGAATCAAGGAGGGGGCCAAAGGGTACATCTTCAACACGTAACAATGCTGAGATCGCAGACATTCACTACTCTCTGAATGGTACTCGTGACTATTGATCATCAGTCTTAACAAACTTACACAGTAATGATCATGAAACTGGCTGCACAGCCCCACTGTTAGTCAGTGGTGTTGGTTTTGATCATTAAGTAAATATAGTGTTTATGAGGCTGAGGAAATCTGCAGTAAGCTGCAGAAGATGTCACATGGATGAGTGACGAAACGTTTCTCCCACTGAAAACACAGCGGCTGAACAGAATCAACTTTCTCGGATCTTTACCACTTATATAGGATTTTTTTGTGTAAAAAAAAAAAAAAAAATCTGTATTCCCCTGCTCTCCTCACAACCTTCTCATACATAGCCAGCCACTGACATCACTCTTCTGCCTGAGAAGGGGGTCCTCACTAAGGGGGCTTCCCAGCTGCGGCAAAGCACTGCTGTCTGCCTCGCTCTCACACACACACACGTTCCCCACAGCTCTTTAATTTGTCCCTTTGAAACAGCCCAGGATCTGAGCTTAAAAACAGACTGTTGTCGGATCGTTTCAGCTCTGAAAACTGTGCTGTAGTGTGCTGTACCGCTGGTGTGACCGTGGTGGGACAACCAAAGTGGGATGAAGAACATTTTGGCGCTGGACTTCTTGCTCACCTGATCTGTAGCGGTCATCCCGGGTTCCTCCACTGCGATGCGTTCTGCGAGTGCGTCGCTCACGATACCGGGATGAGCTGGAGGGTGGAGGTGCATGGCTCGAGGAACTAGGAGCAGGAGGCTGTACATTTTGAGGAGGTGGTGCTGTAAAATAAACACAAAATACATGCATTGTTACAAAACAATCAAAAACTGCTTTACATACTCATTTCTGCAAACACTTTGATTTAATAGGCAGAAGACTTTCCTGTAACAGGCCTTGGGTATCTGCTGAACTTTTAACTGTTTCTGTTAAACACTATCTGTTTAACTGTGCTGTGGAAGGTGATGATTTGGTTTATGTCCTTCTGCACTACCCGCCAAGAGTCAGAGCCATATAGCAGCACTGTCTTAACATTGCTATTGTAGAGCTGGAGCTTGCTTTGGATCCTATATATTTCTCAGTCACCTAAAAGCACCTCTAGCTTTGTTCACTCTGGCTGTGATGTTTTTATGGGCTCTGTTGTGGCTGCTCACCAGGCTACCAAGGTACATGAATTCTTAGCAACGGGGTGGCTAGAGGAGGAGGTAGAGCAGGTCATCATCTACTAATCAGAAAGTTGGTGGTTTGTAGTCTTGGACAAAGTATTCAAAGTATTCTTGGACAAGATACTGGAATCTGAGTTGCTCCCAAATATGTGTTGTTCATCAGAGTGTGAACAGAAGCAGTGAATAAATGAAACGGTGTATAAAGCACATTGAATGTTCACCTGGAGTGGGAAAGCACTGTATAGGAATCAGACCATTTAATATTCTTCAGAACCTCAGTGATGATAGTAATGATATTAATGAGCATCACAACAAAGACTGGATAGTTTTCTCTGTTTTAGGAAAACCTCAAATGCCACTTTAGCCTTTTTACCATGAAACCATGTTGCTGTCATATGTGCACAGTGTGGCTGTGCATTAAGCACACCATGTATACTTGTCATGTCAATTGGTCTCTGCTATCGCTATTATTACAGATGGCCGCTCCTCTGTGAGTCTGGTTCTGTCAGAGGTTTTTCCTATTAAAAGGGGGTCCTTCCTTCCCACTGTTGCCAAGTGCTTACTCTGAGGATTGTTGCGGTTTTCTCTATAATATTGTAATATAAAGCGTTTTGAAGTGACTTTTGCTGTGATTTGGCGCCATATATTTGAAATCAAATTGAACTGAACTGAATGTAAATTTCAAATGACATGAAAAATATTAAAATTGATTTTTTTTGTGTGTGTTTGAAGCTACATTTATTTTTTTTAGGTGGGCTTTTTGGACGTTGTTTTAAGGACATGGATTGTCATATTCCAACTGAGAGAATCAGCTCGTGTTTGTCTGCTTTGTAGATCTGCTGTTCCAAGTCTGTTTTTTTTGTTTTTTAATTTCATTTTTGTAACATAATAAATAAAAAGCTACTAAAAAAAGCTATGGGTGTGAAATGATTCTATTTTTAAATATAGTTTTTTAATTTAAGTCAAGAACAGATTCTTTGCCACGGCAAAAAGACAAAGAAAATATTGTTTTGAGTATGCCTAAGCAAGACAGGAAAACAGCAAAGACACGAGGGATGCACATCTATGCTTAGCCCGATCAAAAAAGGGATTATGAACACTTACGTGGAGTGTGGATTATGTAGGGAGCCAGAAGTTTTGCCCTTTTCTTCTCATAGCCCTTCTGTGTGATGTCACCTGTAGAAAAAATAAAATAAAATAAAACTCTGTATTGCTTCTGAAAAAATGAGCATAAGATATGCCACCATAAAAATAACAAAACATCTCAAACTCTGATTGTTTTATTTGATGGAATTCAAATATACACCAGTTAGACTGTCAAAGGTGCTCATTTGAACCCTGAACTTTAATAAGAAATGTTATGATGGTAGTGTTTTCACATTTCTCTTTGCCATTACAACAATATCAGCATTATTAATATCACTTTTTCCCTCTCATTAACCCTGCTTCAGCAGAGCAGATCGTAGAAAGACTGTCATAAGGACCAAGCAACAGTTACTCAAGTGTTATCGCAGATCGATGGTAGAATAAACAGCTTCAGCATGATCAGCTTTCTATCTGTGAATGGAGTCAGCGAACACCTGTTCCAACCCACTGTGATAGAAAAAGCAGGAAGCAGCAGGGAAAAAAAGAAAAAAAATGATAAAGAAGATGATGAAAACACAGTTGGACCCACACAGTGTTGCAGTAATCTCTGGAGATGACTGCAGGCGTCAAACATGTGGCTCGATTCCAGCCTCAAAGAAGAGAAAAACAAAACAGGACTAAATCTGGAAACGTACGGAAGCGTGGGCAAGAGATGGGATGATTCAGAGACACCGACAGAAAAGACAGAAGTGTGAAAACTGAGGACAAGAAAGGGAAAAACGGAAATGCAGAGAAGATAAAGCGATGAAGTCAGAAAAAGCTTATGAAGATGAGAATGATGCTGCAAAGGACAGAAGAGGAGGAATCCTGAGCCACGGGTTTGACTTGATCGTATTCAAGTGATAGGTAAGCAGTGTCCTTTCGACACCATCTTCCATCCCTCCTGCCAACAGCCCATCTGCAGCTTCCTCCACCCCACCAGACCCAACACAGCCTGACTGAGCTCTCGGCTGGCCCCGAAGCGATACAGAAACTCTGCCAAACTCTTCTGTGGGCAAAGCTGTCAGGTTTTGAGTTACTAAAAATCCATCTGGAGAGCCCGTACACACTCTTACAGTAATTGTGTTGATCAGCAATGATTCATTCAGTATGTTCACCAGTAGCTGCCCTGGCTGCATTTTAAACTTCATCTCCACATGTCTCTGAAACAACCTGTTATCCTTTTACAGTGCCTGAAAATGTCTGTACGAAGGGGAGATAGCTTTATATCAACTACAAGTATTGGCCGGTCTGATGGAGGACCCTGATGTTTGTGAATCAGCCACTCAGTAGCATAATGCCCTGTGGGCCTCAGTTTTAATCTGTGATTACAATTTAGGATTCTGAGATGCAAAGAAAAATACAAATCTTTCTGGCACTGATTTTTATTCTCTGCCCAGTTACAGCACAGAGGACAACAGAGAGGAGATGAGGATTTTCTGATGTGGTTCCATCAAACCACAAAGTTAAAAGCACTAACGTGAAGTGAGCATCTTGTTACAAAGACAAAGGGTGGAATATAAAGCAGCAAGTGAAGTGTCACTTTTTGAAGTCGGTGTGTTAAAAGCAAAGCAGCATAAAATTGGAACAAAATCATGATGGTTACACGAATCCCCAAAACAGAAGGCCTTCCAGCGCAAACCAAAACAGAAAGAGGTTCAAGGTCACAAATTTGTATGAATTCTTTACAGGAGATGTGCAAAGAAGTTTGCACTGTGAACATGTTATTATTAAATCAACATGAAACGCATATGATTTACAACACATGCAGTCAAGACATCATCCAAGTTCGCTCTGAGTAACTTTGAATCTACTTAGAAAACCGCTCAGAGAAATAGCTGATGATTTGTATCCGCAATTATATGCAAACTTCATCTTTAGATGTCGGTTATGACTAAACAGTCCAGAAAAAAAAATACACCAATACCTTTGAAACTGTAGTTTGCTTAAACTTTAGTTATTCTTATTTTGTAAAGAGTGAGAATGTATGGCCTCACATGTTAGGCTAAAGGTGTTTTTAACTGTGGTGGATATTCAAGCTGGGCCTCTGTTTCCTGCTTTATGATTGTTGGAATTTTTGGATTTGTTGTTATGAAAGGATGAAAACAATAAGAATCACATTTTGCGTAATTGACATTACAGATGATACAAAGATCCTCCGCTTATATTTAATAACTGACTAATCTGCTTGGTCTTAAACAGAACCTCTAACACAACTCTTAAGCAGAAGAGACAGAAAAGCTTAGGCAACCTACAACACAGCCATATAAATTGCCACACTGCTGACATCACTGTGGATAGGACGGCAACAGTGAAAGTGCTCCTGTTTGGAGGATATTGCCTGAGAGACCACTCCAACACAATATCTGCTCGGCGACTGAGGGCCCTTTTTTTCTGAAAATGGAAGAAAAGCAAACACTTCCATAAGTAATGCATGAACAGTACAGTTGGCCACGCTCAGTGACACAATTTATTTTTAGCTTATGTGAACAGGCAGTTTCACTGCAGATAGGCAGAGAGGGAGATGGAGTCAGTGAAGGGGGAGGGGCTTGTGTGGCATTAAATGAATCTCAAAGTAATCACTGTTCCATCTGGATGATTTGAAAGTCATCTGTGTTTTTACGGCTGCGTCATCACATTTGGTCTCCAGCAGTTGAAGCTGAAGGGTTAAACTGATGTGAAAGCATTGCATGCGATCAGTGAACTACAGGTGATTAGAGCCCTGCATGAAAATATGTATGTGTGCTCCCTTATATTTTTTTTTCCATCAATTATTCCTAAAATGTGACTATAAAAAAAAAAACTATTATAATTACCAACATCTTTTTTTTTGTACTTTTCCAAAAAGCTATTTTGAGTGAGGTTTTCCATGGGATTGGAAACACTTCAACGCTTGCAGCTTGTAGCGGTGCCTCGCCCTGTGAATAAAGGGCACAGGAAAAACAAAAAAAACTGATATGGTAAGTTCGTAGAAGAAGGATCAGTTAGTGTGACGCGCCTCAATTTTTCACATCATCATAGAAAAAAAAAAATCAAAGTGCAATATGCTAGAAATGGCTCCAGAAGCATTTATAAAGACTTTGGGGTTTTCTCAGTTCATGATAACTAGCACAACAACTCAAACCACCTTTAGTAGATGGTGTGTTTTATGGATGCCCATAAATCCTATTAAAACCTATTAAAATTTGGAGTTAAAGTTCCAAAGTTTATGCTCTCCTTTACATGTTCCAATGCCGTCCAGTGGGCTGGATTGGAGATCTTTAATGGGCCCATTCTGGCCCCTGGGTTTTATGTTTAACATCCCTAGTCTAGCGATAGAGGAACTCTCCATAGTGTCGGGCATCATACAAAGTTTACACTATGAACACAGCCCAGAAGTGGTGAAAAAAAAATCCACGGGAACGGCAGAGCACCTGCAGATAACTCCACACCGCAACTTAATCTTTGTTAAAGTGTCCAGTGTGAGACAAAAATTGACTGTTCGGTAACACAGATGAGATAAAAATGTAATTTTCTGATAAAAGTTATAAATGTTGTGTTTGGAGGACAAAACAAGTTATGTGGACAGGCCATCAAGATTTGGGACTTGGACAGATTAGGTCTGAATTTCATTGAGAAATTTTGCAGGAGCGTGTCTGAGCAGCAGTCCATGACCATGGACCTCGGTCGTGTTGTGCAAGCAGAATGAGTCAAAGCACACAGGTACATCCACAATGATATTGTTAAAAAATAAATAAAACTAATGTTTTGCAATGGCCAAGGTAAAATCCTGTTTTTCTGACATTCTGTTCAATAACAACAACCCTGAAACATTTATGAGCTGAAATGGTTTTGTTGGGAGATTTTTTCCTCCTCACCATTGTGCAAGTCTCATAAGTAAAGGTCGTCACTGTTTGACTCTTTCCCGCAAAAATACGACGTTTGACAACCTCCCCGTACCCTTAATGACAAAGTTCGGTCCCCTAAATGTATATCACCACCATATTTCAGGCCTGCTTCTCGAGCAAGCAGGCCTGAAATATGACAGAAAGTGCTCACTCCAGAAAAAAGAAAAGAAACAAGGGTTACCCCTAGCAGGCATCCAAGGTGGAGCAAATTAAGGAGGGTCTATATTCAAGAATTCCCATACTTTACCAACACTTTTCAGTAAAGACATGAGGCACTACTGTTTTAGTCAGACTGCGTATTTGTGGGTAAATATAATGACATTGTAATTTCACATAAAAAACATTGAAATCCCATTTAATTAGAGGGGAATTACACCCTTAGTTGCAAACCGTATTATAAAATGTTACCAGAAAAAGAGTTAAAAAGATGTATTATTTAGCCCAGCTTATATTATAAAGACAAACATGTCTACACACACTATATGCAAACAGTCAAAGAAATCTGCTCGAGGCAAATCACAGCCCTGCTGAGGTGATGAGGGCCTCACTCGTTAACCCACTTTCTCAGAGTGGCCCAGTCACGTCTGTCCTATTGGTGGAGAGGTCACCATGCGACTATTTCAGTGTTACAGTCAGGTTTCACACGAGGCTGCCGCCACTCTGCTCTCCTGTCTTTGTTTGACAGTTGCATCAGTAAAGGAAACCCGTGCGTGCACCTCAGAGCGTACGTTTTCACTTTCCACGACGTGAAGGGGAGAAACATCAAAGCAGTGCCTTGTCTAAGCCCTCCACACTCTCACACTTTCTAGCTTCAGATTATTTGAATTGCAGCAGGCCTGCACTCTCCTTCCTCCCCACAGGCACTCAGTCTGAATAGTAATTAGCTACTGCCCTCTATTTTCTTTCCCTGCTTCTTTCTCTCCCTCATCACATTATCATTCGAATACTTGGTCTCCAAAAAGAAAAAAAAAGAAACAAACAACTTAAAGTCGTGTTAACACCTGCTTTGTGAAAATTATATAAACACTTGGCAAAATATTACAGAGGAAACGTGGATTTCCTGCCGTTTTCTCTCATCTTACAAGAGCGAATAAGCCTGATGATAATGTGTCTACTATAATCACACAATAGCAAACTCCAAGGAGGATCCTCCAAACGGAATAA